CTACAGTTGCCTGTTTCATCTGGACACGTGTGAAGAGTTTTGTTTTTTTTTAAAAAAAAAACAACCCTTAAGGGTAACAAACTTTTTTTTACTGTGTTTATCTCTGGTCCTAAGTTTACATAGTTGTAAATTAATCTGTAAGAAAACATGCCCTTTTCCCTTATGTTTGCTGTTCCCTAAGCTCAGTATTCTACTTGGAAAGCTTTCCATTTTGGAGCTTTAATCAATAAATACAGAAATGAGTCTCACCTAGGTTGTATATTGTCAAAAGGTGCTACAGGAAGCCTGAAACATCTCTGAGGTGCTGGGATTTATTTCCTTTTCCCAATGTCAAATGAGTCCACATGTGAGTTAGCTATCATAATAGTAGAAATTAAAAACTGAAACAGCCAGCCAGCATCTATCTCCTTCTGAGACTATATGCCACTGAGAGCTTAATTAAACACTGTCAGTTGGCTTACAGTCACATCAGTCTTTATGTGTAGACCTCAGTGCAGAGAACTAAATGGGCAAGTCCACACCAAGCACCTAGAGGAGGATGAGGTCATTGGAAGAGATGCCCAAGATAAAGGAGACTACGGCAAGTGGACTGTTGTGGTTTACTGACAGCCTCTGTATTCAGTAAAGAAAAATGTTCAAATCCAAGATGAGTCTTCAACACAAAATGTCAGGCACAAGTTCGGTCCTTTGCATTCTGGTTATCGTGAGTCTGTTGAAGCCAGCATTACATGACAGGTTTGCATGATGCTAAGAGATCATACTTGCCTCTAGTCTGATTGTCTTGGGCTCCATCACACCTACAGCACCCAGCCCATGTTCTTGTTAGGAAGCACATTCTCTGGGTCGTCTATTCTTTATTATATGAAAATGACACTGTTGGTTATCTCTCATTCTTGTATCTCTGTAGTCACTAAAACAGGATATGCAGATCCCTAGAACATGATAAGCTGTTTTCCTCCAAATAAGGCTTCATGCCACATTTATTTCCATTTGCATACATGAGTAGATACATTTTGTAAAGTTTTATTGAAGTATTTCACATATCATAAAATTCAGCCACTTAAACTATACTGTTCAGTGGGTTTTGTTGTACAACTATTATTCCTATTTAATTTTATGACAAATAGAAACCCTGTACACAATAGCAGCCGTTCCACAATCATCTTCAACCTCCTGCCTGTGACCCAGTCCCCATGCGACAAGGTCGGCAGTTCAAGCTCACAAGCCACTCCTGGGAAACTATCCAGGGTCGCTATGGGCCGGAACCAACTTGATGGCACTTAACAACAAACAGTGGAGCATATCACAGCTGGCTGTATATTTTGGAAATTCAGAAGGTTCACAGATTCTCAGGAGTGGAAGGGACCCTAGGAGATGTTCTGGTCATGCCTACTCCCATCAATCAGTACCTCAGTTGTATCTGCACAGCATGGCACACCAGCCTCTGCTTTGAACTGCAAGGTCGGCAGTTCAAGCTCACCAGTTAATCCTCGGAAACCGTACACAAAGTCACCATGGGTTGGAATCAACCCAACAGCACTTAACAACAACAATAACAATTCTGATGGGGCAGCTCACTCCATTTGTCTGCAGCATCAATTCAAAGTTTTTAACTTACAAAGATCCAAATTAACTACATTAGAACTCCTAATCCTGGTCCTACTTCTGCTTTCTGGAGACCCAAAAAATAGATCCTTCCCTGAAGGGTTTTTTCTCAGGTCTGCACTATTTGAACCATTTCTCACAGGTCATAGTTTCCACTCTCCCCTTTGCTAATTTAGCACCTTTCTTGAGTTTTTTTAATGTCTTAAAAAGTTGTGCCCCTTTGAACTCTCCATGCTGCAGTTCAGGTGATGGTGAGTGCATCAGCACTTAGTCATGATGTCTTGTTTTTCTTATGTTGTCTTAACTTCCTACTTCAAATAACTACACCATTTATTCCTTCTTTTTGCTTTGCAGTTGTCGTTTACAAATTGGCTTCTCTGGTTACCTATTTTCAGTCTTGCAGGTTCATTTTATTTTTGATAATTCTATATCTAGACTAACCACAGCATGGGAAGAGATGAGGCTTTCTGCTCCCATAAAGATTGACAACCTCAGAAACCTTAGGGTCACTAGGAGTCCGACTCAACCCCGTGGCTGTGGATTTTGGGGGAGGAGTGGTTATATCTAGGTTGGTTTCTGAGCGATGTCCCTCCTCACCTACGGTGGTTGTCTGCCATTGTTGGTTCTCCATCTTTACCATTTCTTGTAAGGTAGTCTGGTTTTTAAAATATTCACGTATTCCTTCTTACCGGGAAATGTCTTAATTTCACCACTCTATTTGAGAGAAAATTGATGGATATATAATTCTTTGGCAACCTTTTTCTTTCAGGGCTTTACATATTTTATTTCATTGCCTTCTTGCCTGCATGGTTTCTACATAGAAATCAGAGCTTAGTTTTATTGGTTCTCCCTTGAAGGTAGCTTTTCATTTTTCCTAAGCTGCTTTCAGGATTCTTTCCCTGTCTTTAATTTTGGAAATTTTGCTTATGATATATTTTGGTGATTTTCTTTTGGTGTCAGTCCTATTTAGGGTTCATGGAGCTTCCTGAACACAAATTTTCTAGTCTTTCATGATATTAGGGAAGTTTACTTCCAATAGATCATCAATTTCCTGTGTGTTTTGTTTTTGTTTTTGTTGTCTCTCTCTATTCTGAAATTCCTATTATACTAAATTATTCTTTTTGGGGTGTCCCACATAAATATTAGATTTTCTTCTCTATTTTGCTCCCCTGGGTTTTTGGGGTTTTGTTTTGTTTTGTTTTTTTTGGCTTCTGATTTTTCTTCTTAACAGATTAGTATTGAAAGGTTTGCCTTCAGTTTCATTAATTCTACTTTTCATTGGTTCAGTTCTACTTTGCCTTTCCAGTGTGTTGTCTATTTCTGGAATTTTAGTATTAATCTTCTGAATTTCTTAGTGGCTTTTGAATGGTTTATAATTTTCCATTTGTTTTATCATTTCTTGTATTGTTTTCTTAAATTCTGCTAGAGTTTTGTCTGTGCTTTCCTTGATTTTGTCTGTGTGTTCCTTGATTTCTTTCTCAGTCTGTTGAAGAGTTCTAATTATAATTCTTTTGCATGCCGTATCTGGTAGTTCTCAAGACCATTTCTTCTTCTTGAAGGTTTTCTGGCTCTGTTTTGGTCACTCATTAGAGCCACATTGTCTTTTTGTGAACCAAAGCCGAATGTTATCTTTAAGACATCGTGGTGCTATGGTATTTATTTGATGATTATACATTGATGTGTTTGGTGCAGCTCTTTTGCTTTGTTTAGCTAAATCCAGACTAAAAAGTGGGCAGTGGGGGCAGATGAGCTACTTTGCTTACTGGTTTGGCAGAACTTGGGCATCTGTCACCTAATGGATGTGCTACCAGATGTTACTGTGTGTGCAGGTTTCTATTCACTATTCATGTTGTTGTTGTTGTTGTGTTCCGTCGAGTCGGTTCCGACCCATAGCGACCCTGTACAGGGTTTCCGAGGGTGTAAATCTTTACGGGAGTAGAAAGCCTCATCTTTCTCCCGCGGAGCGGCTGGTAGTTTCGAACCGCTGACCTTAAGGTTCGCAGCCCAATTCGTAGCCACTACGCTAAGAGAGCTCCTTCATGTAGAGCAGTTAAATGAAGACTAGGCTGGTGTGGCTTGGTAGTATGGATGTTGTTGCTGCCTATCACTGGGTTAGATTTAAAAAAAAAAGAAAAACAAGGCAAGAGAAAAATAGGAGGGAAATAAGTGAACGGGGGGTGGGGAGGAGAAGGCAGGGGCAGGGAGCCCAGTACACAGTGGTCCATGCTGCAAACATAGTGGTACAGAGGCAGTGGGGGTAACAGTGCCTGGTCTGTGGGCTTATTCTCTGTGGACTGTGGAGGAGGAAGACTTGTGGTACACAACTCACATACACATTTACTACTGAATGCAAAGATAGTGCTAGGCATCTGATTTGTATGGGCACACACCTCTAAACATGGGGGTGGCGGGAGTGTGTTGCTGATCCGTGAGACCACAAGCTGAGAGATGGTGGGCACTCTTCATTTGTTCCCCTGGCTCCAGGGAAGCAGAGTAGAATGGGGAGAAGGAGCGGGCACATCACCAGGCTGTGTGTATGTATGGGGAGGGGGGCATCACTCTCCTCTATGTCTGTTAACCAGCTTAGTGGGAGAGATCACACCCCTGTGGTCACTAGTGTGGTCATCCATATGATCCTGGGCAGTTGGTTCCTGTCCTGATGAGAACAATAGTTGCAATAAATCAAAATGGCAAATGTGGAGCACTTTCTTCAGCTCGTCCGTTATCTTTAGCTGTCCTCTGCCCTCTGTATACATACAGGCATCAGCAAGAGTTTCACTCTGAGGACCCTCCAAGCTAATTGTTGGCTAGCACCCTCATCAGAGTTTGTTTCAGGGGGCCCTGGAAGCTTACCCAACTTTTTTGTTTTACCTTCCTGAAAGAGCTCCATCCTGTATCCAACGATAACACACTCTCCTCCCTGTCACAAGCTATGGGGTGGCGTGCTCACACTACAAGCTTCCTCCCTCACAGTTTCATTTGAACTGGATGTAAAGCACACTCTTGGTGATCTGCAGGTTTTCTTATACTGTGTTGTTGTTAAGTGTTGTCAAGTCAGTGCAGACTCATAATGGCCCTGTGTATGACTCCAAGGCTGTCAGTCTTTGCAGGAACAGAAAGCCTCATGTTTATCCCTCAGAACAACTGGTGGGCTTGAACCACCAACCTTGTGGTTTGCAGTCCACCATTTATCCTGCAGAGCTGCCATGCTCCCTTCTACCCTATGTTGTTGTTAAGTGCCATCAAATCGATTCTGACTCTAGCGACCCAGTATAGGGTTTCCTAGAAGTGGCTGGTGGGTTTGAACTGCTGTCCAGTGCTTTATCTTACAGCACTACACCTATAAGTGGCTGCTGCTGTTTGCAGGTAAAAGTAACTGGGCTTTTGTTTTCCAGGTGGGAGACCATATGATTTCTTCTGACTCTATTTCATCTTCTGCTAGTAGTTTTTGGAACTCAAGCCCTATCCTTTGCAACAAGCAGAATGTACAGATGTTAAACAAAGGTATCCAAGCAGGTAAGTAACTGGAATTTAAACTTCCCCATTGAAATAAAAAATATGTTCTTAAACATATGAGAAGACACTCATTTTCACTCACAATAATGGAACTAGAAATTAAAACTATACCCAAATGCCATTTTCCACCTGTCAGATTGGCAAAAATCCAAGTGTGTGGGCAAGGGACATGGGTTCTCTCGTCCATTCATATGCACTCATAATGGTACAACCTGAGTTGGCAATTTCTCTGCGTTTTTGCTTTTTATATTTAATTTCTAGATATACTGTCCGTATATGGAATCTAGCCCACAAATGTACATGTACGCCTGTGCAAATGACAAGTGTACAGAGTTGACCGTTGTAGTATTGTTAGCTAAATAAATTATTGTCAACCATAGAAGGAAATCCTACATAGTGTGAAGTATGTGGAGCACTTTCTTCAGCTCTTCCTGTACTAATACTGAAAGATCCCCAAGATATATATATAATAAAGAAAAAACAAGAAAGGAACAAAACAGTACAGTATGCTACTTACATATATTTTTTAAATAGTAGAAAAAAAAGAGACTTGCTTGAGTATATAGGAAAAAACTCATGGGATTGTGAACTGAGTGAATGGAAAGGAGACTTTTCACTTTCTGCCTTTCTTTCCTTTTTGGTTTTTATAAAACAAAAAGAAATAAATAAACTCACTTGGATTTTCCCCCTGAAGTCTTCTCTTTGCCTCTGTCAGCCTCCTTGCCTAGGTGGCTGCCAGAGAACCATAATTATTAATTACTGTCTTTCTCACTTGGTTTGTGAATTCAAATACCTGTGTCTGGTGAGTCCACGGTAGTCTGTCCCTCTAATTTCCAAGCTGACTTAGAAATGAAAGCTGCCTCACGGTCTGCTTCCTCCTCAGTTCATTTCCTTTGCTGAGTACCTTGAGTGTGGTTGCCAACTACCTGTTCCTCTCTTATAAGTCAAGTTTTGGAAGTCATGGACATACTAGCTCTTTGGTAACTGGATACATAATACTAATAAGAGGTGGAACCAAGTCCTATCAGCCTAAAACCACCAGGGATAAACTTGCAATCCAACAAAAACCAAACCCACTGCCCTCAGTTTGATTCTATTCCTGTAGGACACCTAGAACTGCTGCCCCATAGGATTTCCAAGGCTGTAAGTTTTTATGGAAACAGACTGCCACATATTTCCTTCACAGAGTGGCTGGTAAGTTCAAACTGCCAATGACTGAGCATTTTAACTACTGTGCTCAAAGTCAGATTTATTGATTCATTGCAGTGAGAGAAAGTACACGCTAGCAGAACTGTGGTCGTCTTGCCAAAGATGAAAAGGGAGTCAGTATGGATCTTGGAGAAGGGTAGAGTTTGGGTGAAATGTAAATGAAGGTGTGCTTTGATGGGCTCAGAGAAAAAAGTGGGGTCAACATCACTCAGCTCACGATCCAGTTTTGCAAAATCAGAAACATTAATATAGGTTTGGGATGTTACATCTAGAATCTCCTTCTCAGAACTCTGAACTGGAATTGTAAATGGAGGCTGTTTCCCAGTGTAAAGTGGGCTTAGGTCCTCAATAAAGAATGTGGTGTTTCATTCGTACTGGTAGTAAGAATACCAAATAGAGTTTCTGATGGTGAACTATTTTTGACAACAGTGTTTCTCAGTGAGTCAGGAGACTGTCATTCTGAGAAGGGGTTTGTCGTGACACTTGACAGTTGCCACTTGCTGTGGGAGAAGTATTCTCTTAACTTTGTAGCTGGCTTTACCTGTCTCTTCCTCCTAACCTGATGCATGGCAAGGGTGGTTTTTAATTTCCACTGGTCTTTACTTTCTCACATGTTAGGGATTTTTAATTGAAACGAGCTGTTCTGTTGCAGGTGTGCTCCCTGCCAGGTAACGCTCCTGGGGGATTTATGCAGAAAACATCTAGACTTACCCTCCATATTCATTCATTTCTATTTTGTATGAGTCTCCTAGGTCTTAGAAGAGAAAACTGCCAATTTGCCAAATTGCCCTTTGTTACTGACAGCCTCGAAAACTCTGTGCAGGATCACTATGAGTCAGAACTGGCTCCACGACACTTAACAACAACTGACCAATAGAAAACACCATTTTATTTGCCAAATAAACCACTTAAGGAAGTTCTCCCTCTTTGGTTCAACATATAAAATATTTGTTATTTTGCTTTACATTTTTTGTTGTTCCATTGATGTACCTATATTGATTAATATGATATAGTGTCCAAATCTCAGGACAACTACTCTTAACTCATATTGTTAAGTGCCCTCAAGTTGGTTTCAACTCATAGTGACCCTGTATGGGGATTTCAAAGAGCGGCTGGTGAATTTGAACCTCCAACCTTGCAATTCACACCGAGCTTGCGGTCCAGTACTTATTCCTCAGTGCCACACTAGGACTCTATTTAACTCATAATGGGGAAAATATGTCTGAATCACACCCAAACTAATTAAAACAGAATCTACTCAGGTTGGGGCTGGACATCAGTTATTTTTCAAAGTCTCTCCATGTGATTGTAAGGTGCAGCCTGCAGACACTCCCTGTTGGCTCCTTCCCTTCTCATCCCGCTCTTCTTCTCCCACAAACACAGAGGCAGTGGCCTTTGTTTCTGTAGCACTAAAACTGTTTGAGTGACTATGATAAACCTACCAGCTAAGTCGTAAGGCTGCTCCTCTAGAGACATTTGTGTGATCTTTCCCCTCAGGTAACTTGGAGATTGTGAACGGTGCCAGAAAACACACCCGTGATGTTGGATTGACTTTCCCCACTCCAAGTTCTAGTGAGGCTAGATTAGAAGAGGAGAGTGACATGAGTTCTTCTCTGTCCGAAGAAAAAGTTGAAGAGAAAAGATTCCTTGCCAGTTATCCCTTGGATAAAAAGTTAAGGAAGAACAAGCCAAATTTCTATGAAGGTCAGTTTCTAGTTCTAGGTTTTATCAAAGAAAACCTAGTGTCTTTCATGTCTCTTACTATGCTAAGAGTCTTTGTTTCTAAATGCCGCTATGTAGACCCTACCACTACAACTACCCAGTGTGCCTGCACTTAAGCCAGACTCAAGGGCATCCTGGCTTTTTTCATGTACTTGTCTGTGTTGAGAGCTCTGTGTGCTATGAAAATGAAACACCTTTTTCATTTTTAAAATATTTCTTATAGGAGTTTCATGGTTTGTTCCTGTTGAAAAGTTGAAGTCTGGGTCCAAGAAGGAAAATCTGCCTAACTCTTATGGCCCTGGTGTCTCCTGGTTTGAACCAATAACAAACACCAAACCCTGGAGGGAGCCACTTCGGGAAAAGAACTGGCAAGGACAGCAAATGGACTGTCAGGGCTGCCTAGGAAACCCATGCAGAGGTGAATGTGTACACCCACTGAGGCCGTTTGTGAGAGCAAACCTACAGGTACAGTGACAGTGTAGCCATATACTGCGTTTCATTTTCCTTTCATTTCATTTCTTTCTAGGGGAAGGAAAAGGCAAGATGTAAAGAAGTGAATCTGACTTGGCATTCTAAAACTCTTGTTTTCTAGCTCCTCCTTCAACAGTTCATCAGTTTTTACCACATTAGAAGTTAGTTTCTCACCATGAGTCAAGACTGCCTTACTGTTGTTGTTGTTGTTGTTGTTGTTGTTGTTGTTGCTATGTGCCGTTGAGTTGACTCTGACTCATAGCCATCCTGTATAGGGTTTCCTAGGAGCGGTTGGTGAATATGAACCACCAACCTAGCGATTCAAGCCGATCTTGTGGTCTAGTGCATTATCCCGAAGCGCCACACCAGGACTCCTATTAACCGCTCTACCTACCCTAGTATTAGGGCCAAGGCACAGAGGGGAGGGTGTTGTAACCTTTCTCATCAAGTCCAGAGATACCATTGTGTGGAGTGCTCTGGAGGCCGTAATGTTTGTGTTACTCCATTACATAGCTCCTATTCCTGTGTAACCACTGGATTTTAAAAAGCACCAAGTCCCGCATAGTTACAGATATTTCTTAGATATAACCAAGCAACTTGCAAGGTTGGTTTTCTGGGTTTGAAGACTTAGAACCATAATTTCGTAGACTGACTCAGTTAATTGGCATAATACAGCTCATGGAGTATATGTTCTACATCCCAAGGTGGTGAATAGTCTCTGGGGCCTTAAAAGCTTGTGAGTAGCTATCTAATATACAACTATTGGTCTCTACTTGACTTTGAGAAGAAACTAGTCTATAGAACTAGTTTCACACAAACTGTAGCCTCATCTGAAATGGGACCAGAAACCTCGATGGTGCCTGGCGTCCACTACCAGCCTTTCTGATTAGGGCCACAGTGCATCCTGATAGAATGAGTGGAACAGAACTAAAATTCTTAAAAAGTCCAGCTTCCCTAAACTGATTGAGACTAGAGAGTTCCCTGAGACTATCACCCTAAGATACTCTTTAAACCTTAAACTGAAAATATCCCTTAAGGTCATCTTTTAGCTAAATAACAGATTGGTTCACAAAATAACGACTGAGCTAGTGAGCTCCTTTAAAACAGCATCTATATGAAACCAAGGAGTCCTGGTGTGGTGCTGTGGGTTAATGCACCAGACTGCAAAGCTGTTTGAACTGCAAGATCAGTGGTTTAAGCTCACCAGCTACTCCTTGGAAATCCTATACAGGGTCGCTATGGGTCAGAACCAACTAGACAGCACTTAACAACAACAACATATGAAAGCAAAAGGAGCCCTGATAGCATAGTCGGATAACTAATTGGGCTGCTAACTCCAATGTCAGCAGTTCAAATCTCTCGGTTGCTCTGTGGGATAAAAGTGAGGCTTTCTACTCCCATAAAGATTTACAGGGTCATTATGAGTCAGAACCAACTCCAAATGGTCAAAAATTACTCTAAAGCAAAGATGGAAAAGTAAGGGGACAGAGAAACTACAGGAGATAGTACAACCTGAAAGGAAGGAATGGGAACAATGACACACATTGTGAGAAGTGTAATCCACATCACTGAATCATTTGTGTAGTAATTGTTCAATGAGAACCTACTTTTCTGTTTGAACTTTGCCCTTAAACACAATTTTTCTTAAAAAGTCATCAAGTCCCCTATTTCCATACCTTTTGAGGGTAAAAGAAAAATATATTTAAAGGAGCCTGGTGGTACTGTTGGATAAGCACTGGACTGCTAACTGCAAGGTCAGCAATTCAAACCTACCAGCCACTCCTCAGGAGAAAGATAAGGCTTTCTGTGCCCATAAAGCTCGACAGCCTCCAAAACCCTGAACAGGATCACTATGAGTTGGAATCAACTTGATGGCAGTGGGCTGGGGTTTTGTTTTTCTTTGTTGGAAGGAAATTTAAAGCAGCACAGTGGACTGAGCTCTATCCCGTCGCATTTGGGAGAGTTGTAATTGCCATGCTCTTAGTTCTTGACTTATTCCGAAGTCATGTGTTGATTTCTCTGCTGAAGTTCTCGCTAACAAAGAGTTAGTTGTCAGTGCATTCTTCAGCTCTAGAGATTTAGAAACGTGCTTTCCAACTGGCTGGGCACAGGAGCTGGGTACTTGAAGAGCATTAATGTGAGGATGTGGCTTTTTCTCCTCCTTAGGAAGCGCTTCACTTTCACAGGCCTGACTTCATCTCTCGCTCCGGGGAGCGGATCAAGCGGCTGAAGTTAATAGTCCAGGAGCGGAAGCTGCAGAACGTGCTGCAGCGTGAGCGGGATACGCTGTTCAACCCTGGGCGAGAATGGCAGGGCTGCGGGGATCACATACGCCCTCTACCTAGGCAAGGTACGCCCTCCTGCTCGCTCTCCTGCCGCCGTGCTTCAGAGCACAGCTAAGTCATCACTTGAAGTGGACAGATTACCTGAGGTAGTTAGTGGAGCCTGCCCAGCTCAACTCTCAGCACTTTTGCAAACAGGGCACACCCTGTTAGGGCATCCTAAAATTGCGCGTGCATAGGAGAAGGACCCAAACACTGTTCTCAACTCATGTTCGCCTCTCCAAGGGAGTGCTGTGAATGCCCCTGCCTTACAGATGAGAAAACTGAGGAGGGGAAATAAGCACCTCTCCCAAGATTGCATATCTAATAAGTTAAAGATCTGGGATCCGAACCCTGAGGGGCTGGCTTGGGAATCTGTTCTCTTAGCAATTACACTCTGTGTAAGATCTCAATAAAATACCAATATATGAAAGCTACAAAGTGCTACCTAAGCTTACATTGCAACATTGCCTATAAACTGGTTGGGTTTTCAGTTTAGTCTGGTCTCTCCCACAGAGTGTTGTGTCTTCAGAGGCAGGAGGCTGCTATTACAGTCGTCATAATATGACCCTGGCACTGCTGTTGTCACTACCCAGTACCGAGCACACATTCTAGCATCTCTCTCTCTGTAGCACAGAGCCTTTCGTTGTTATATTACTGCAACAAAAATGACAGCAGTCATCCCTCCCATAGTTCACTGCAGTGACCACACAGAACTCAGACACCATACAGTTACAGGGTTTATTAGAGTAGTTAACAGGTTCCAATACAGGAGCGGAAACTATTCAGGGCACAGTTTACTACAGTCAGGACAGCCTCGCTTCAGCTGGGCCCACAAGGCAGGTCTCTGTCTGCCCATGCAATGATACAAAGCTCTTTTAGGACTGCTGATACGTGCTTACAGGAAACACCACTCCACTGTAAACCTCAGCCTGAATGCATTTGACTAGCTCTGTGAGTCAGCAATCCTAGCTTCCCAGTTAAGTGCCTGGAGGTAACCCACTCTTCAAACAAGTCTCCTGCACAAAGTCGTTCAGCTTTACTTGCTCTGTGGGCTGGGAAGCCACTGCTCTGTCTGGTGCTCTGGCTCTTGGTTCCACTGCTGCTCCTCTGGCCCTCCTCCAGTGTCACAGCTTTATGTCCCTGGATTTAGGAGGGTCAGTACACAGAGATCTCAGGTTCCACAGGACGCACGTCATTCCTGACTCCTCTTCTTTGATGGGAATGAGATTCTCTGCTTCCTGTTTCTGTGATGGCTCGTTTTATACCCACATTGGAATTCCACTTTCATAATTAGCCCTCTTAACAGTCTCACAGCTGACTCATAATCCACCAGCATCTCCCCGCACTTTCTTTTACCCAGATCCAGCAGGCAAAGGTCGTTGGGTGGGAGTTAAACAGACTGTGGCTGGAAGAAGCACAAAGTAGTTGACTGTGCCGCAGTTACTAGTTATTACCCACCTAAAAGCTCCTTCTTCTTACCCAGGCACCCTGGCTGTCCAGAAGAGCAGATCTATTGCAAAGAAGGAAATGATTCAGAGGTCTAAACGGTAAGGCCCAAAGAACAAGAGTTATCATAAAAGTTTAAATGAGGCCCCAAGTTCTCAGGGCTCTGGTCTGCCCCCACGATGTCCAGAATAGAGGCATTTTGCTCAAGTGAAAAAACATGGGAGTTAGTAGTGAAAGCAGTTTCACATTTATGACTTTTAAAAAAATACAAGGAAAATAACAAGTTATGGTATAAATGACTCATATATAAAAGATTCGCCATTAGTTTATATGCATTAGGCAGCCTCATCCTGTTTAGAAATTGGATTTGAAGCAGAGTATGTATTTAGGGCCATACCTTTGTCTTAGCCATCTCATCTGTAGGAATTTTTCCAGTAGAATAAGACATAAAGACACATTCAGGTAAGCTTTACCAGTTAATCCAGTTCGGGTGTGTGTATACACTGCTGTGACTCATTAGTGGTCTTTGACAAGGGGGATGGGGAGGGCCTGGGTATGTTTATATGCATAAAGTGTCTTTGGAAAGATACAAAAAGAAGAACCAGTGATTGCCTTTGGGAAAGAGTGGCTGGGGTACAGAGGTAGGAGGAAGTCTAACTTTTATACTCTTATATTACTTGAATTGTGTGCTGCCGCATGCTTTGTTGTTGTTAAGTGCCTTCAAGTCAGTTCCGACTCATAGTGGCTCTGCATAGAAGCAGCTGGTGAATTTGAACCCCCGATCTTGCAGTTCAAATGATCTTTCAGTCCAGTGCTTATCTAACAGTGCTGCACCAGGACTCCATGCATGGTTTAGCTACTCATTATTTAATTAATTAACCAATTAGTGTAATGGTTACAGGTTGGGCTGCTAACCTCAAGGTCAGCAGTCTGAAACTACCAGCTGTTCTGCAGGAGAAAGATGAGGCTTTCTACTTCCGTAAAGATTTACAGCCTCGGAAATCCTGTGCAAGGTCACTATGAGTCAGAACCAACTCCATGGCACATAACCCCGACCACCACCATGTCTGTATTGGTCATGAAAATGCCATGGAATAGCTAATATAAAGAGGTACCTTTTAAGGGTTCATTGGAGACTTACTTAAGAACAGTTTTATAAATAATACAATGCTTCCAAAATAATGGTCCTTGAAAACCATTTATCGAAAGTAATATAAGTATCCCTCTTGAAATTTTGTTTCTATTCTCCATTTAGTAAAGCTTTGCATATAGGTAATTTCAAGGGGTGCTTTAATCTCATGGTTCTCAGGTGTGGCCCTTGGCCCTCAGAAGGTTTCTGAGACCCTTTGTCTCCTCTCTGGAGTCTCCCCTGACTTCATCTCATCTAACTCTGTGCAGCATTTTGTTCTTATGACCATTGTGGTACTTTTTTTTATGGAATAGTGGGTTAGGTGTTAGGCTGCTTACCGCAAGGTCAGCAGTTCAAATCCACCAGCCACTTCATAGGAGGAAGTTGCTCCCATTAAGATTTAGTCTTGGCACATCCTTATGATGAACCTGACCTATACTCAGAGCAGTAGTTACTCTAAATACCAACAGAGAGGGAAAGAGTCTTCAAATCAAGTATCAGTGCTATCCGCTCTGTGCACAGGGTAGATAGGGATGGG